GTGTGGCAGGTACAAAATTGCCAGTGGTTGGTGGTCCATAGGCTGCAGGTGTAGGCGCAGACATATAGGCACCAGGAGTAGGTGGAATAAATGCAGCTCCAGGAGTTGGAGCAGTTTCATAATGCGGCGTAGGCGCTATCCAAGCATTACTTGGAGTCTGTGGAGGTATGTCTGACTCATTATATCTACTCGTATTGCTGCTATGATTCATCGTGTTTTTATCGTTATTAGATGCGCTTATGCTGCTACTGCTACCCCAGGCATCGCTACGCCACATCGGTGTCTTGGAACCAGAATCCCAAGCGGGAGTACGTCCGCCATCGTTTGCATAAGGGTTTGGTGTTCTCGCACCAGAGTTCCAAGCAGGTGTTTTTGATCCAGAATTCCAAGCGGGTGTTCTCGCACCTGCAGCATTACGCATAGGAGTCTGGGCGCCTTCACCATATCGACTGGGAGTAGCAATAGGCCTTGCAAATCCGTTGTTATTAGATACAGTATTATCAAATGGACCTTGTGTGGGCTGTCCAATAGGGTTACCCTGTGAATCGAGTATGATAAGCTTGGATTTCTCCACGTTAATGATCTTGCTGTTCGTATGAAGCTCAACACGTGCAGAGTCATCTGTCGTATCTTTCACAATACCAATATAGCCCTTGTGTGGCCCCTGGGCAATACGTACTGTTTTTGCAACGAGGTTATCTCTGCCACCGCGTCCACGTCCATAGAATCCTCCACGGGCAGGTCCGCCTCTACCACCACGGGCGCCGCCTCTCATGTCTCGGTTAAATGGTGCAGGAGTTGCAAATGGCTTTTGTGTGTCTAAACTAGCGTTCTGTCGTCCACGAGCCGATGTGCTTACGACAGATCGAGTATTGGATACCCAAACACCATAGTTTTCACTGTGTTCACGGGAATGAAGAAAAACCAGGTTACGATAGAGATGTAATATCGAACAGTTGCGCTTTTCTCCACTTATTTCAATAACCGAATCGCCCGATCGTATGCTGTTACCATTCGCATCGGTTGCTATTGCCTTTTTACTGTCACGCTTATTTGTAATCTGGTGAGGTTCGACCGTACGAAGCTCTCCGTTTTGTGTCAACACTTTGAATGTGTCACGGTCCACTTGAACGATGACACCCACTGTGTAAAAGTCGAGTTGAACCAAGTCATGTAGTTCATAATTTCCAATAACAGTTTTGCCAAACATAACTTCTGCTGCCTCACGCAAATCTTTTGCAAATACCTTTACTTCTTTGAGTGTTGCATCTGATAATAGAGTAACAATGTTGTCTTCTACTCTAACAACCATACCGCTTTCATCCTTGTATCGACCGTTAATAACCTTGACATGGTCACCTTCTTTAAATTTTTTGCGTAGTTGTTTGGCAGGTAGAGTCACACGTTTCTTGATGCCGTCTACGGCCAAAGAGACAACGACAGAAGAATCTATCACGTTTTCAACAGTGCCTGTACTGTGGATCATATCACCTTCGACCACACTCACAGTATCACCAGGCTGGAATATCGCACCATTGGCCTGTGCGTTATTGATAGTCAGAGAAGATAAGGCGGACAAGTCAATCGCCCTTTCACCATCTTCGCCGTTGATATCATTTCCTGCAAAGCGTGCAATCTCATCAAGTGTAGGATTCACATCTTCTATTTGCAAGACAGTAACCTTCATTGATTTTTCAAGATAACCGTCTCTAAAGTAATTGCCATCATACACCCAGTAAGGGCCCTTCTTTTGAAGACTTGATATAGAGCGGCTCGGCAATCTCTCTGGGTTAAACAAACGAGGAGGTGGTCGCGCAGTCTTTTTACGTTTTTTACTATCGTCGTCGTTTAGTGCTGCAGCATTTTCAAGGTCTAGCCTTGGAACTACTTTAACACGGGCTGAATCTTGAGTATCTGATACTTCGATCACTTGGGCCAGATCGCCAGCATATGTACCACGCTTGATGCGAACCCATCCTCCCAAAGGTATCTCTACCTCTTTCTTTTGCACATTGATTGCATCAACCATATCTTTTAAGGGAACTAACATCAAGGTTGTCATATAAATGTGAGGAATATTGTTCAGCGCTTCTTGGACATGAGCTTGTCGCTTTGCTTCGATATAGATATAGCCCTTTAATGATTCTCTGGAAAATGCTGAAAATGTATCAAGGGGGTGTGCTCCTCTAGCTCGATCAAAGTGTCTCTTCATCAGTCCAAAAATGATATCTTTTTCTTTTCCAGGCTGTATTAAAGCTATGAGTGACAAGTTTGTTCTTTCATGTATACATGATGTTATACCTTGCATTTGACCATCCAAAGATTAGGATCATTAACATTAGGATGAAGTAGTTGTTGAGGCACCTCTTCAATGTTTCTTAATGCTGAGGGCTGAGGACCGTATTTTTCTACATAAAAGGCAGCCACTTGCTCATCGTCCATATCTTCCAGTTCACGTCTCCTACGATCCAGTTCGATATGACGACGAGAAGTTATCTTTGATGTAGAATCGAGTTCTTCAACGTCTTCTTCAATAAAGCCATCTAAGAAAAGTGTGTTAATACAAGCACAGTGGATTAAATGTCAATGAACCTTCACGACCATATTCCTCGTCTTCTTCTTCTTCGTCTTCTTCATCGTTCACAATAGCCATTTCATCAATGAAAGGGTTGAACTTTCTCTTTTTAGTTCTCTACATTGTAATTGTTACAATTGTGTAATTCAGTACTTTCTTTTTGATTTACACTGTCATCATCGTCATCATAATCTTCATCCTCTTCGTCTTCTTCATCATTATAAGGAACATCGTCCTCTTCTTTGTCGTGCTTGTTTGGAGTTTTAGCCATGATGGTTAATTAGGTTCAAAAAAGAGAGAAAACTGTTGGCTTTTTTTTCACTATGCCAGCTGTGACTGTATGTTGACAATAAATAGCTCCGATGTTAAATAATTGGGCTATGGCAGAATATAGCTCCTTTGCAGGACTGAGAGTGTCACATGGCCACTCTTCTTTCAATTGAAGACCTGTGTTTGTTTGCTATGATTGTTGCCACATTGTGCTTAACTGTGCAATGGACTATGGGTTTAAATTAACTAATTTCTCAAAGGTCGCTATGCAATTTCTTTTGAAAGTTCTTTTGGCGCTTTTTTTATGATTGCGTACGCGAAAATACATGCGAGATATAGACGCCAACTGTGATATCACTTTACAACCTCATACTACCCAGACTGTACAGTAGAATATCCTTTAATCTAAAATCTGAGTTTATCATGATTGTATGTGAGCCAAGTGACCATTGTGGATCGAACTAACAGAATAAAGTAATAAAAACACTTCTTTTTTTATCTCTTCTTGAAAAGAAACAAACCGATATGGCAACTTTATAAATACATATTCTACATCGCAGGTAGTGTCTGTAGTATTAGTCCTCTTGTGTGTCACCTCATGTTCATAGTGTACACCAAGCTCTTTCTTTTCTTCTTAGTGTTTTTATCTTCATTTTTCAGCCATCGAAGGCGCATCTGTATATCATAACACTTATGTCAAAAAGAGCCTTGCTGTAAGCAATATATGTTTTACAATTCATCCTGCTCAGCTACTTGATGGCATTTTGATAACTTACTCTTTTCGAAAAGATAAGCTTTAGCAGCCAAACTACTTCTTCAAGTATTAATGCTAACAGTGTCACTACGCCTACACTTTATTCAGAAGTTATGCGCACACTAATAGAAAAATGATCATTTCAGACAACACATAATAGCAAAAGAGAGCCTTTCAGAAACAAAAGAATGAAATATAAAAGAAATGATTAATGAATCAGTTATTAAACTGATACTAAGTACTTACATTATAAATAAGAGGACTTATAAGAGAAAAAGAAGCAAGAAAAGTGAGCAAAATTGTGAATATCCTACCCAAAGTGTACTATTGATGGGCCACCGATAACCAGCTCGGAAAGAACAAAGAAAGAAAGAAGGAAAGAACAAAGAAAGAAAGAAAGAAAGAAAGAAAGAAAGAAAGAAAGAAAGAAAGAAAGAAAGAGAGCAAGAGAGCAAGAGGGCAAGAGAGAGAGTGGATGGGACCAAGGCTTGGTAAGAACCAAACTACCCTCAGCTAGAATCGGTACTGTTTTCGATTTATAATCTATAATACTATACGCCAGTTTCTTACAAGAGTAAAGAATATAACATACCTTGGGGCTAGCTAGGGAATAGCTGGCCTTACTTTTTGGTCCAAAAAAGAAGTCAAGATCAGACTATTTATATTAAACCTCTAACAACTTTTTCAGTTACGTGTTAACTACATGGAGAGTCTCTTCTCTCCTCTTTCGTGAAAACGGCAAAAGACCGGAACGCCCGTTGAGCTTAATATTTTAATATCCAAAATAGGCAATATAAAGTAGAAGTTTTTATTTAAAGATATATTAGATAATTGATGATCTGCATTTCAGGTTCATAATTAGGTCTTTTTATATTCTTTTACAAAGTGATATATACAATAGCTGTCATTGCAATGAGTAATGTTGATAATAACTGTTAGTACTGCTTGTGAGTCATAGTAGTGAAGTTACAAGGCTGATTAAAAAAAGGAAGGCAGCTGTAACAATCTAAATATCATGCAAAAAGACATGACGCGCTACAGCAGACAGAACATATCTCCTTCCAGCGGCCAAAAAAAGAAAGAGGAATTCAATATATAGTAATATCCAAATAAAAGCAACTAATCCTTTGTAGTCACCGCTACATTAAACCACGATACAGGTAAGCCTTGTTGACACTTGTAGACGAAGCGCACCGTTGTTTCTCATCTTTTTAGTGGACGTTTCATTTTATTGTCTGGCATTGAAAATATCAGCGAATCAATTCCAGCTAATCCGGCCGAAAGTGCTCTATGTATACCCGTCCTTCTTCAAAAAGATTTCCCCTTCTCTCATAAATCCACTTTAAGCAGCCATGGTTAAATTCATTAAAGCTGGAAAGGTAAAGCAATCTTTTTATTATAGAATCAAAAAAGGAGAGATGGATGAAATATAAAGATGGATGGATGGATGGATTAAAGATTAAAAGAGAAAAAGAGAGAAAAAAAAAGAGAATGACAGCACATGTTGAATTCAGTTTGAACTTACACAATTATAGGTTGTCGTCATCCTTCAAGGACGTTATGCCGGTAAGAAAGCCGTTGTCGTCCGTAGTATGTATTCAACTTTATATATGCATGTTCAGCATCAACATAGAAACGCGTTTTTAACAATATTCTATAGATCACGATGAAGGTACCAAGGAAAGACCTTATGGTTATGCTGTTGTTGCCGGTGTCGAACGCACTCCTCTCAAGGTCACCAAGAAGATGGGTCAAAAGAAAGTTGCTAAGCGCTCCAAGGTTAAGCCTTTCATCAAGATTGTCAACTACAACCACATGATGCCCACTCGGTAATTATATTTACTCTAAAGACAAAGCAATATCTAACCAATATTGAATAATATATAGTTATGGTTTGGAATTGGAACAAATCAAGGGTACCATCGCTTCTGAAACCTTCAAGGAACCTTCTCAACGTGAAGACGCCAAGAAGCTCATCAAGAAGTTGTTTGAAGAACGCTATCAAACCGGAAAGAACAAGTGGTTCTTCAGCAAGCTTAGATTCTAAGTTTTAAAATAAAATAAATTGTGCAATGTGCGAAAGATATTGTTTATTGGATCAATTCAAGAATGGGCCTAATCCTACTTTCCCTATCCTCAACTGACAAGTATGCTTCACCAACAATATTTCCAATGAAATCTATGAAAGTTTGCTTGTCTTTTTCTGAAACATCCCCTTCCATACTATCCTCATCTGATTCTTGATCTGCAATGTGTCTCAGCACGTCCTAAGATGAAAAAAATGAGGGATACTAACTATTGTTATCACATTCACTTACCACAAGTGCCTGTTTACATCTATCCGCCTCTTCTACTCTAAGAGGATTTGTGCTATTGAGCGCATGCTGTAATATATTTTCGGTATAAAACTTGATGTTTGGAACAATTAGCACACGGGTAACCTCTGTTCCGATTCCATCCAAGCCGATGATCGCTCCAAATTGTGTTGTCAAAGGACGTCCTGGATCCAAGAAAGCTCTCAACAAAGTCTTGGTGATGCGTGGTTGCAGCGTATGATAAGACTTTCCGTATTGATGACAAATATAAGCAATTAAGTTGGCTGCACGGCGACGAGTTGACCAATGATCCTGCTGTTGGGGGTTATCGCAAATGGTTTTTCCTACTAAGCATGATAAAATGGGTGGAATCAATTGATGCAGCTAACAAGGCCCGTCGTTAGCCACTCTATCTTTTTCCTTTTTTGCCATACTTACATAAGGTTCAATAAACAAATGTTTGTTGTTTAACAATGCATGAGACATTGACAGCATAGCTTCCAATATCTCCAGGTTTTTATGATTTTGCGCTACCTTCTTGTGAATATGTTGAACAAAGTAAGGTACTAGCTGATGAAGTCCTGGATCCAGACGTAAGCTTTCAAATGCCTGTGATTGTAACCGCTCGTTATCACTGAGAATAGCTTCTGTAATCCTTTCAAAGTACATTTGTAATTCTTTAGATAATACGTGCTTAACAAGTGGCTTCACATTCACTTGATCTGTCGTAATGCCATTAGAACTAGTATGTGTTTTAGTGCGTTTTGATAATAATTCCGCCTTGGCATCTATAATCCAGTCAGTATATTTCAGGCTATTTGTCCAAGTCTATAGTTTACCATTGGGTGTAGGATTCTGAGGAATGGCAGGTTGAATACCTTCGATAGCAAGCCAATGTGCTGTGAATGTAACATCTAGAGGAATCTTTGGTAATGGTTTGTTCAAGACACTGTCAAAATCAATCTCTTCGTCTTCATCAAAGTAAATCTCTGTCGAATTCAATGTTGTTTTTCTAAATTTAGGTGTTTCTCCATGAGTATAACCGTAAAGAGGCTATCAATGAGAGAATGAGATGGTTATTGTATACATGCGTACATTGATAATTACCTCTACATTTTTCACTCGAAGGGCTGCATTCACATCGTCTACTGTTAGTTTTACTCTCTTGGAGTGTCGCATAAATTTAGACGCTTCCTAAGTAAAAGAAGGAAATTAGTTACAAAATATCAACAATGTGTCATTTGTTTACCTGAATAAGTTCATGAATTCTATATTCAACGTCCTGTGCTAAAGCAGTTGCTATTTCATCCTTTAAATTATTTATTCCAAGCGACTCTCCAATATTCTATCATATATTTAGTTTGTTGTCATTGATATTTTTATATAATTTTACTTTAATTGTATCTTTAGGAAATACACTCATTGTGTGTTTAACGCGTTAAAGAACAAAAGAAAGAGGTGGGATTTTAATGACAGCAAAAACTCTGTACACACACACCCGAGATCAAGCCACAATTTTTGTCCTTTTTTCCTCCTTCTTTAAATGTCAAGTGCTGTAAGGGACTTCCTCAAGAAAGTAATCTTGTTTGATGAAGACAGCTATAACAAGACACTTTCGGTCCTCAAGACTCTTTTAGAATGTATGTGCTGTTGTCGTTGTTGTCTTCGTTTCTTGGGTTGCAGTAATCTTAAACTTTATGCTTTTCAGGAGAAGGTAGCTTTTGATATATATAATAAGTTACTCTTAATAGCTAACAAGAAAAGTATAGGATCTATTAGCAATATATAAGGATTTGATTGAAACTACACTTTCGACACCATTAGTGACGTCTGACAGCCTATGTGTTGCCTGTCTTGGATCCCTTCAACATGCAGAGGAATATATTGAAGAATCATACAAGGCACTGATAGCAGAGTCATATCAAGTGGACAATATCGCCTTAAGCTGCACTTTGCCTGTCAGTACACTTATTCGTAATCACTTGTTAAAAATATATTTGGAGGATACCGGACATAACTATGTGGGGTTGGCAGAAGAAGGCTTTATTAAAGATCCAAAAAACATCTTCAAGTATTTACTTGGTGAATACATTGAGAAACAGAACAAGTTTATGGTAGAAAATGACGCTGGATTACGTATGACGGTGGTGATAGAGCATGAAAACTCATCTCAGGAACATATGATATTGGCCCAATTAGAAAAACCATTGTTGAAAATTAAGACAGTTCGGCAAAAGAGAAGAAGAGTGACAGTGGGGGATTCAAGGCAATGTATCCATTACGCATTAAAAAAGCTTGATACAGAAGAAGTCAGAAAGTAAAAATTATACAAATGTCTTGTTCTTTTATTAACCTCTATCCATAGACTTACTTCTATTCCTCCTGGAACAGTAACTGAACGTGCCAAGATCACGTCGGTGGTACTCATGAATGCACCCACATATGTAGCCGGTCGATACCTAAAGTTTTCTAGAGAGTACAGTCAAACACCTTGGAACGTGCGAGGAGCTAAGTTGGCAGAGAACTCTGTCTCAGATTGCTTTGAGCTTATCAAAAAGTATCACAAGGCGGATGATGCTAAATTTGGAAGTGCAGGACGCGAAGATGCCAATGTTCGCATGTTGGGAACAGGAAGACCCTTTTATTTAGAATTAGTTAACCCCAGAATACCACGCCTGTCGGATGAAGAATATAAGAAACTCGAGGATGAAATCAATCAGTCACCTGTGCATAAAGATGCGGTCCAAGTCAGGCATTTGACATGTATTGATCCGTAAGTTGAAACTAGAGATGTGTGTTTATATGCTAATATCTTTAAATAGCAAGTATTTGAGTATCATCAAGGAAGGAGAAGAAAAGAAGACAAAGAGATACAGAGCACTCGTTTGGCTTTCTGAACCACTCACAGATGAATTGATCAACAAGATTAATGAATCCTGTAGTAAAGAATGTGCAATTATACAGAAAACGCCCATACGGGTGTTCCAGAGACGAGCTGCGATTGACCGTCCAAAGACGATTTACTCTGCCAGTATCTCTAGATTAAATGATAAACCAGAAGAAGCACATTTTGGTGTATTTGAAATGCATGCACAGGCTGGTACATATATCAAAGAATTTGTTCATGGTGACTTGGGTAGAACAACACCAAACTTGGCTACCATCGCTGGTGTTCATTCAGCTGACTTATTAGAGTTGGATGTTATGGATGTAGACTTGGTCTGGCCACCAACACAAGCCAAAAAAGAATGAAAACAATAAAGATTTATTATCAGATGCATCTTTTATTTAGACATTTCATCACAACATATTCTATTAAAGTCTTTTGGGTTTTCCAAATACATGTGATGACCTCCATTTGCAATTCGAATTACTTTAGCAGGCACCTTCATGTGTTCTTTAGCTTCCTCTGCTGCCTTATAATCCATCCAGTCATGTTCTCCATATATGAATACTGTAGGCATCTTCAATTGGGCCAATCTATGAAATAATGGTTTTCGAGCATAAGCACCTGGCGCCAGAATAGCTGCTAGTGCGAATTCTCCAGATCCAGTAGATGAAGTAATATTGTATCTAGTTGAGCAAAAGAGTGAGTAAATGTTTTTTTTTTATCAGTGATTTTAACTTACAGATAATCATAAAAGTCATGTTGTTCTGCCTCAGTAAGGTGAGCAAATCGCCTTGATGTATAGTTGTGTACTAATCTTGCACCAAAGGGACCTGTCATACGGATAATGCTCATTGGTGTAATATTGTTATTCCAAAGATAAGTGGCCCATGCGGGGATCCTTCTTGGTGGATTCTTATTGTTGGGGACTCCCTGTTGCTTTGCAATATTTTCGACAGCTGCTGTTTCAGCTTGATAGGCAGCACCTATCTCATCTGCTTCCTGTTGAACAGTTTCTTGTGGATTCTTATTGGGTTTTGTAACTGCCTCAGGAGGAGGTATGGGTATTCCAGCTAAACATAAAAAGGTGAATAATGAAATAATTGGATGGATATCTATCAACGTACCTGGAGACACAAGAATCAATTTCTCTACTCGTTCAGGATATTTTAAAGCATAGCATGTAGCAAAGTAGCCGCCCATGGAGTGACCACATAATGTCATCTTGTTGATACCTACTTTATTTCTCCAATCCTCTAATGATTCTACAAAATGGTCTTCTACTGTATCAACAACATCATCCCACGTTTGGCTTGACTTTCTGGCAATTGTCCATTTCGGCCGTGAACTATTGCCCATACCAAGCCAATCGATCGAGAATATTCGCCATCCGGGCACTTGAGATAGTTGCTGATAGTTTCTATAGAAAAATCCTAGACCAGCGCCATATCCATGACACATCACCAAGTTTTTGGTATCTTTATCATCTTGTTTTATAATAGACTCTAAATCTGCTGTATGACCCGGTTCAAATCTATAAGGGGCATCTTGGTTGGGTTGCTGTGTGATATATAATGTGTTGATCAGTTTCTTCTTTTCATCATCGAGAGCTATACGGCCTACGCAAGCCATGATGGGTATACGGTTGACTACGCCAGGCAATGCACCATAGATACGCTGGATGATACGGGCTTCAGCTATCATAGCTGTTCTTTCAGACCGATTCCACCAGTGCTTAATAAAGTTAAATTTGGTTGTTGGAGGAATAACGGCGGGCAATGTGTTGATAACTGACAAGTCTGTTCTTTTGTCCATAAAAAAAAAGGAAAAGGGATAAATAGAACCCGATCGGCTTTAAATTAGCAGTGCTGAGTGGATTAAAAGCCAATCAGCTTTTGAATCTTAACCAATGAATTTATGCGACATTGTGTTTTCAAAGTGTCATCATTAATTTTGATGCAAGCAAGTCAGTAGATTCTTGTTCTATCAAGTACACTTGTAATAATTCTCCAGTCAGAATAGTGAACGTTATGTGCAAAACACTGGGTGATCATAAAAGCTCAATTAACCAATCTGAGTAAAAGCTACAAGACATATATGGCAATAAACGTAATTCTGTTTTAAATAAGGCAAAAAAAGAAACACGTAAATAAAGTGTAAGAGGTTTTTGAGTAAAAGCTACGGGGGAAAGCAAATTGTCTCGTCTGTTTGGCAACAGTTATACGACGTTTTGTTCTCTGGTATCTAGACAGAGTGTTTCAGACATTACCTTATGTCCAAGACGTATTGGTAAAATATAAAGGTGTATTCAATCTTCGTAATCTGCGTACGTAATTCTTTGCCTAAAAAGGAAATGTGCTTGATACTCTAGGATTAAACAAATGTTTTATTTAAGAAAATCATATACTGCTATGGGTGCACTGAAACAATATTATTTCGTTCCGCCCGAGCCAAATCAAAAAAAGGTACATAGAGTCTAAAAACCCTTTTGTGATCAAAGGAGGAAAAAGGAAAGAAAGAAGCGAAGGAAACGAAGGAAACGAAGAAGGATTAGGTCGACATATGTTGAGAGGAGAGAAGAGGAAGAGGAAGCCATTGGAAGCGACTGTTATACACT